AATCTTGTGATATTAAATGTATCTACTTATTTAATGACATATGAAAGTTGTATAAAAAAATGAAACAAAAAAATTATCTCAATAACACCACCCTTTTAAAAACATCCATCATAAAATTAACACCATAATCATAAATTAAAAAAAAAAAAAAAAACCCTTTAACATACAAACTACACGTTACATTTATTTTCGCAACACACAACCATCTTAATGTAATAACTACACCAAATTAATTCGATTAAAACTTGTATAAGACAAGACAAAAAACTAAAACTTTTGTATATAGGTGAGACCCCAATCTTTAATAAGTTGGGGGGTATAGAGTCTATAGACTTAATTTCTTTTTTCCTTTCTACGTCTGCTTGGACTTGACGTCTTGCCCACATGTGGGAAACCCTCTAGAAGAGAGCATGTCTTGTGGTTGTCTTTCTTTGTATGTGGGCCTTGATTTTATGCTAGTTTGGACTCAGACAATGCTGCCTTTGTCTATTGCAATTAATCTGCTGTTTGTTTTTTTTATCATCTTATACAGTTTTCCAAGGTGAACCACACATAAATTTCGCACTGAATTTGAGATATGAATCCCTTTCAATTTCAATATTGATTTTAGTTGTGTAGTATTTGCTTGCCATCAATTTCGCACTGAATTTGATTGACAACTCGTAGAGTATTGAGGTACACGTCAATGCCGACACTATCTGTGCAGGCCCGCGTATTTCTATTTTTTTTTTTTAAAAAAAACGATTTTATAAATTTATACGAGGTCGACCGGTTATTGTATTGGATCCTTATTGGTGCACACCCAGATCCAACACCCGGGTGTGCACCTCCATATAAAAAAAAAAAAGTGGATCGGGTGGGGATGGGTTTTTTTTTTTTTTCAATGAGGAGTGTGCACACCCCAGTGTTGACCTGGGTGTGCACACATCATTTTCTTATTGTATTATATTTCCTAAAAGAATACTGCTAAAACTTAGATTTAGCCGTTTAGCAAATGACCTTACAGGTTAGTTGGTTAAAGATTAAAGAATTTAATTAAGGATGCAAAACCTTTATGTTATCAAGAGAGTGATGTTATTGTTATATTTTTAATTATTAATATAATATTTTTTATTTTAATTAATTTATTAAAAGATATATAAATTTAAAAAAAAAA